CTTGAAATGTTTTTTTTGCGCACGGCTACATGCCAGCAGCGATATTTGTCTGCTAATGTGCCGAATTTGTTGTTCCAACTCTGCTTCACTCTCTCTTAGCTTCAGCTGCTAAACGCCATAATGGACAAATATTGCCCTTTCTGGTGGAATAAAGTCAAACAAAAGAGTGTGGTTTGGTGCTTTCAGCGATTCAACCCCATTGCATTTGGCGTCGGCAAAAGGACACGACGCTATCGTAAGACTTCTGCTCGAATCTGGCGCCACCATAAATCGCAGGGATGAAAACGGCAAAACGGCACTCGATTTGGCCATCGAGAACGGACACCGGTAAGTGACCCTAATGGCGGTTGAAATATAGGTTATTAGTCGGAAAGCTATTTCAATGTAGAAATAGGAAGGGGAAATAGGGATTTTTTCTATTTCTGTGCTACTTACCGTCCCGTACTATTAGCACTACGGTTAAGATCAAAGAGAGTGCCTCTCGAACTCCATTTTCACCCGAATATTCATTGAACGTGAAGGATTTTTCCTTTTTTCTTTACTTCCTGCCCACTAAGCATCAAAGCTTCCTTCTTGTATGCGAAAACCACACCTTTTTGATCCTGAAGAGTTCTTTCAAAGCTGTTTTCGCCGCGTCCCCACAACATGGACCTTTTGAGCGATAGCCATGTAGAGCCGATTACCCTGTTGTGAGCTGTTACAGTTTTGTGAAAACTGAATAATTATCCGACTTCCGGCCCACTTCGCACCAAATCACTGCATACTTCTGGATAATGTTATGGTGTCTTGGATTGCGGATTTTCCCAAATTCCTGGGGTTCCCTATACCTTACACCTGCTCTCAAAGGATTTAAGAGCAAGGCTGCTTTTCCTGCACGATTATCAAAACAATACATTGTACCACATTGTACCAGAGCGGGGGAATTCCCTGAGAATGGTGTCCTAGCATTTCGTGCCCAAAATGAAAGTACTCTTCATCCTTCTAAACTTTTGTTGTAGCTAATTTAGCTAATATGATGAAAATTATTCCTACATAGTTCATGAGAGAAGTGAACAGGAAGTTGCATACCTTGAAGGAACGAATTCACGATTAGAATGAAGGTCGAAGAAGGAGTAATTCACCTAGTTGAGGGACCCGCGGACCTCCTAAGGGTGCGGACTGAAGCGCAATTGGCACCGGAGTTGACCTCGGCGACCTATTAAGGCTCAATCTTGGCGCGGTTGGCCAGTGCACGCCCACCGATCATCTGATCACTCGCCGCAGGTCTATACGTGGCGAGTGATTAGATAGGTGAGAGAGCGTAGTGTTGAAGAGGGCACAGCGATGAGAGTCGCATCAATGCTCAAATCAACAG